CAAACTCATACAACACTGATGCAGAAACATTTCAAGCCTCACCTCTGTACTGCAGCAGACCCAGAGGTTTGTTCATCTCAACAGTGAAGAAATCTAAGGACCCGTTCAGCCTAGCTGCCACAATTCTGGGAAGGAAGAGACACTCCGAATAAAGAACAGCCGCGCATAGTAGCCACAAGTAGGATGACACACTTTTGAAACTCTGTCAGTGCGCCCAAGGGCAGCTGTGGCTACAATGTAGCTGCCATCACCAGTGTGTCAATGTGTGTGTGAATGGGTGGATGACTGAATGTAGTGTAAAGCGCTTTGGGGTCCATAGGGACTAAGTAAAGCGCTATACAAATACAGGCCATTTACAATTTACAGCATACATCTGATGTGTTACAATCTAATGTTATAGAAGCAAGTAACATCTTTTAAGAGGTTGGAAAATTACATAAAATAAAATAAATTAGTGTCCCATTAAAATGACCGAAAAATATTTTTTGCCGATTTAGAGCACGTGTGTGTTTAACCTGTTGTTGAGAAAGGCCAGAGCTGTGATCCCAGAAACACCGTCTTCATTGCTGCAGCGTAGCCACCCTTCCACTGCATCCCACAGCTGTAACCAGATGCAATTGTACAGTGATTCTAAACACCAGCGGATCAAGAGTATGACTTTTTTCAGAGTGACATGTGAAATTTTTACAAACCTCCAGTTTGCCGCTGCTCCTCCCGGCAGCTATCAGATTCCCTCTGAGCTCCATGGCCCAGACAGAACTTTCCCAGTCTCCTGCCGCTTGCGCCCCAGCCATTGGGGATCTTTCTTGGATTACAGGTGTAGCTGCTTCCCCTAAGCTCGGACTCCTCTGGAGTTGAGTGCCTGATGGGGGCGAGGAGGAGGCTGAGGACGGAGAGGCGTAGGTAGATGGTGATGGGGGCTCGTGCTCCATGTAGGCACGCTCCACCAGTCCTCCAAAATCAAAGCCTGCTCTGGGTGCGGTGGACAGGTGGGAAGGGGGCTGGGAGGTGAAGTTGGTGTCAATGAGCGGGGTGAGATCGGGCTGGTCAATGAAAAGAGTGGGACGACTGGGCGTGGTGCGGCGTCTTACTGGGTAGAGCTCGTCCTCTGTCAGCCCGTCTCCATTAAATGAGATGTCTCGTTCAGGACTCAAACACTCTGATTCTTGAGCCCCGGTCATGCTGTCCCAGCCATTCCGATGGTCCCAGCAGCCACTGCTGCTGCTCCGCCTCAGCCTGAGAAGGAGACAAAACACAAAAAAAAACAAAAACAAAAAAAAAACCCATCAGCATGACTTGAAGAGATAAACTGACTTTATGTTTGCAGATTTACTGGCAAACATTAACACACAAAAGGTCTGATAGGCAAAAATAAATTGATAATCTAAAAACCACCCATGAACACCAGATTGTCCCTGCTCACTGCATATTCCAGATCATGACTACTTTCAGTTGTTTCCTTTAGTGGTCAGTACAGATGATCACCAGCCTCCATCTCACCCTATCCCAGCATCCTCTGTCATAGCAACCCTCTGAGTGTCCTTTCTCACTACATCCATGAACCTCTGTAGACTTCCTCTTCTGCCTGACATCTCCAACATATTCACTTTAATACAATCAATTTTCAGCCTCAAATTTCCTAAACTGACAGATTGTTTTTAAACTAAATTTTACTTAATGGAAAAATAAAACAAATAATTCCTAACAATGTAAAAGCAAATCTGGAAACATCTCAGAGATCAATATGGCATTGAAATGTTTTTAAAACAAGATATTAAGAGTGTCTCACCCATGATTTGGAATGACAGTCAAGCAGTCCCCAGTCTGTGCGTCCCAAACCCGGATCTGTCCAGCCAGGCAGCAGCTAGCTAACAGCATCCCATCGCTAGCCAAACACTCGATATCCTACAGGACGGAAACATGGAGCAGGAAGCCGGTTTAAATAAGACTAAAGCGATCAGCCAAAAAAGAAATTAATACACATTTATTAAATTCAGCATTTTTGTTTTAAATGGCCCACCCTGTACTGTAGTATAGTACTATGAGCACAAACACATTTCTGTATCTTTTAAAATCGCTATAAAGCATAGGAATCAGCTGTTTGTTTTACCCTTTTTTCAAATTGACATTTAATCTATATTTGCTAAGCAGATTTTATATAATTACAGTATCTGAGTCATTGCAACTGAACTCATTAACACTGGATTTATCTGCACCACATAGATGAGATCTGGTCTTAAAATACATCTGAAATACAAATTAACTAACATTGTTAAAAAAAAAATAAAAAAGACAAGGGAAAGAGGGAGTGTGCAAATAAATCTGACACATGCTATTTTTTCTTTATATATGCACAGTGTTGCCTTTCTTATGAGTTTGTTTGGTGGACAAACAAAGACTGCGGCGTCTCCATCTTAGTCTCACCATACTGTGGCCCCTCAGCAGCAGTGGTGAGATCTCGCTGACAGGTGGTGAATAGCCGTAATCGTCACAGGGCAGGTCCCCTCGCCGCCGCCGCCCATGAGGGACACCATTCTGACCATAGTTTCGTGGGCAGAGAACGCGATACAGACAGAAGAGCAGCAGAACCAGCAGGACACCCGCAGCCAGGCCCAGAGCTGCCACCCTGGATCCAAAGACAACACAAAAGAGTCAGGAGTGCAGTGCCGCCACACTACAACACATTTACCAGAAACAATCACACAGAAGCTGAACTTCTGTATGTGCTCGTCAACTCCTTCACAAAATCTTTCAATGTACTGCACATTTGTTGTGTGTCATCTGTTCCATGAATTCACCCTTTCAATTGAAGCTCTAGATCTCTAACAGACTTTTTATCTCTCACAAAATACTGTGGAGATGCTGAGTTTCCTAAAATATTATCCGGACACTTTCACAGTCAGATGAGTAAATAGCCCAACTAGTGTATAAAGATCAAGCAGCAAAGTGAGAAACTGTTCATAACTGACAACAGCATAACAGATCTCGATGTTTACCTAAAACATTGTTCTGCAGCTGCACACTCACATGTTTATATAGTTTGTGTGTTGAACAAGTACAACTGTACAAATCTAACTCACAATATGTGGAACTGACCGCTTGGAAAAGAAAAACCATGAAAGAGCGCATGTGCCAGCTCTTCTGTGGAATGTGGAGCTTATGTGATGATAACCTGGCAGAGGAGTGTTGACTTTCTCTGCTTAAAAAAAAAAAAAAAAAAACCCTCACATCTGTAATGTGAAAGTAGAGCTTTAACCCTTTCCCCCCCATGAAGGGAACATTTTGACAGCCAGGATTTTTGAAATGCAGCTGTATAGGGAAACAAACATCGCACAAACATCTGATGCACAGTCAGTAATCTTGTTCTACAAACAGGCCAATATGGGACAAACTCCTCAGTTCAGAAAAAGAGCTTTAAGGGTTACTACTACTACTACTACTTTCTGTGCTTATCTTTATTTTGCTAATGGCTACTTTTTTGGCCAATTTTTTTCGAATGAGTAAAATCCATCTAAAGTCCCTGACATCATTTAAACTCATGCAGAAACAAATAAAAACAAGGCAGTCTGTGTACTTCTGTTAGCTTTTAAAAACACTTTAACTGCAATAACAGGAGAATTACTGGCAGCAGAAACGAGTTGGGGAACCAACATTGACACACAGTTGCTTATTTACACATCCAGCACCTCTGGGGCAACGTTGCCATTTATTTGCAGTTTTACTCATGTTCACAATATAAACGGCAAAATATTCACTTTCTTTTAGCTCCGTTTTGGACTGTAGCCACTTGGTGAGGGAGATGTGTAGCTCATTGGTTTCTGGTGATGATGTAGTGGGACTTTTGAACCTGGCCGTCAACTTGAGTTTGCATTTCAGTCCTTGCCATGTAGTTTTATTTATAAACTCATTTTAGATGTTACTCTTAAAAAAAAGAAGAAAAAAAAAAGAAGAAGAAACAGCACAAATGATGATGAACTCTAATCCTGTCTTCAGACCTATTACACACTACGGTTACTTCACAAACATCCAGCGGTTTTCGAAGGTAAAATCAGAAACAGATGAGATGGAGTCAGTATTAACTGGTTCAAACTGTGTCATTAACTTTAACCACTGATTGCACAATTTTTTATTTTAGCTGTCTTTTTTCCTGTTTAAAGTTGCTTTAGGATGTAGGATGAGAGACTTTATCCAGTTCAAAACTTCTCTTAAACAAGACAAGGCTACGCTGACTCGTTTGTTACATGTAAAGATCTTTGCTCCAGATTAAAAGTACAGAGAATTCCCTTGTAACACCTTTATCAATCTGGCCTTCCATCTATCGAAACCAGTGTTGATGTCAGTTGCCAATTCCCAACTGTGAAGGTCACGACCCCGACCAAACTGCTGATAGCAATCATATCTGCAGTCCAAAGATGACCAAAAACATCACACTTATGTCAAAGTGACAGACTGGTTTACACAACACGGTACAGTGTTGTCGCGGCAGATAGATGAGGCTGTTATAAGCTGATAAAGCTGGAAAGGACAGTGAATCGGTGTCTCTGAACCTCCCTCTAAGATAAAGAACATTATCTTCCCATTTTAGCAGCTTTATTGGACCGATATTGTGTACACACACACACACACACACACACACACACACACACACCATTGTTGTGCAAAAGAACACTTCTAGTCTTAAGACTGATTTGCTAAACTACAGAATTCACAAATTTTAACCAAAGTTAAACTTTAATTTCCATAAAATAACAATCTAACAACATTTCTAATGGTGTTGTACCTTAAGTACTATGGTAAACTGGGGGTGAGCTTAAACGTGCTCGCCAATGTGCCATGCCACTGACAGCTAGTCTAGTTATAATTGCAGAAACTCTCACTACGTCTAAAATTGTATTTTTCACTGTGACCTCTGACCAAAGTCATCACTGAAGTCTATGCTAACACTGAAGAAATTCCTAAGATATTCTTGTACAGTAAATACTTCCCACACAGGATTAGCCCATTGTCCCTGAATGCGTCACCTGCTAGGGTAAGGAAAAAAAGCCCCACAAAAAACACTGACAAAGCCTGTAAAGTAAACAAGTCAGCCAGGCTTGGCCAGTTAGAGAATATGAATACTTGCTAAAGACAGAGATAACCCCTGGCATTATTAGAATACACACAAAGAAACTGCATTTTCACCTCACGTAAAAGAAGATTACCATCAGCCCAGCAACAGTGAACACTAAGCCAAGCATGAAACGTAGGTGCTCTTTTACTCCCTTCTGTGTTATGTCAACTTAAATACTGTAATAGAAAATACATCTACAGCACTGACAAGTTTAAAAGTAACTTAAAATGTTTTTGATTTTGAGAGAAGTGTCATGATTTCTCTTTGCAAGACCTCCAAGAGCAGTTTCGCAGACAGACTAAGACTGCAGCTGAAAAAAAGAGATTTTAGTCCAAAATTATGTTATTTCATGTCTGGAAAACTAAACCTGAATGGCTCAAATGCCCTAAATGCTATTGTACTTCACTGCTCCAACTTCAGCAAAACTGCAGAAGGAACTTAAAGGCTTCAGTGTCCAAGGTGCAATCGGTTCAATGACACAGGTACAAAGTGTGAAGGTCAAGGTCCTTTACCTGCTGTGGCCCCTATTTACACTCAGCTGTGTGACGTCAAGGTTTGTTTTTTCTAACCATGTGCAAAAACAGTGATCGCTAAACTGAACTGAAACTAAGAAAAGCTAGGGCCTGAAAAAGATATCACTCATTCAATTAGGCTAAGAAGATTATGTTTCTTTGTAAATTTGTCTAAAACAAAAATTATATGAACTCATAAAAACAATCAGAGCTGATTCATCTGTACCTTCTTTCATAAGATACTAATTAAGGCAGGTAATTTAGCATTCAGAGGATTCTGAGATTTCAGCATTTTCCCCTTATGTCGTTAAACATGTGTCTACATATTACACATAAATAACTTCCTCATGAACTAATAATAACAACAGCAGGAACCCAAAACAACAAGTACCCAAACAAGCGGGGATTAACATGACCCAACAGGTGGTAAGCTGCCCTGCCTGTAGATCCTACATGCATATATTTGGTCAGATCAACATTTTCACAGAAATCCTTTCATTTTTTGTTTGGAGAGCTGTAGGAGGCTTATGTTGCTTTGAGAAACGTCCTTTTCAATGAGAGTCTCTAGAATAGTAGGGGCAAACAACTCAAGTAGCCACACTGATGGAAAATCTGCTGGATTTAAATAATCAAAAGTTACCCGTTTAACACCTTAAGGCATGCAGGTTTATCAAAGTGTTTGTGAGGCAGTTCAAACTTAAAGCGGGTAGATGTCTGTGTCTTTCTGACTACTAACTTGTAGAGGGTGAGGTCTGTCTGCAAGTCAGCAGAAACCTTGAGAATGGGTGGTTGAGGGTGTCTCGTGTCCTGAGGGTGACGTGCGTCAATGGCCTCCTGGGGTGTCAGATGAACAGTGATTGGGATGACAGGTAAGATGCTAATGTACCTGTAAAAGGACAATAACATAGTGGACATAATGAAGCTGAAAGAAACATCGAAGCAGAATTAAAGACTTAAGAAAAAAAAGAAACAAAAAAAATTGTTCCTGGCTTTTACACCTTTAAAGTGGGAAAGTGTTTGTTGGACAACGCATAAGCACATAACTGAAGTAGGTTACTTGTTTGTAGCTGCATTTTCCATGTGGAGAATGGCTGACAGAAATTAGTTGTTCTTTTTGTCCAGCTTTTATTTGGAGTTGATATAAACTTCATAATGCAGCATTTCATTTTGCAGAAACATCACATACACGCCAGGAATGAATCGACACATTATGCTGCACCAGTATCATAACGAGGCAAGAAAATCTTAACTGCTTCACTTGCTTTCATGGAAGATTTGGGATCTCCACTACAGTATAATATACCGTTTCCCCAATTAAGAAAATAACAGACTGACGAACAACAACAAAAAACTCCCCAGCAGCACTCGCCTTTTTGCTAAAGTGATGTTGTAGTAACTGAAGAGTGATGGCCAGTGCCTGAAGGACAGTCTCCTCCATCCCTCCTCATCCTCCTCCCCCCAGGTGATCTGAGGTACAGCGGGTGGGGACTGTGGAATGGGCTCTGCCCTTGGAGGGCCATGATGTCCCTGCGATTGGTTCTCAGGTAAAGGAGTTGGATCTGGTGCACGATGGATGCTCAAGGTGCTGGTAGGATCCCCACCTCGAAAAACCGGGGCCACTCCCAGGTGTGGGGGCAGACCGCCTCCCCCGGGGTCGCCTAAGGGGCTTTGTTCAGACACCTGTGCAGCCAGGTAGGTGCGGATTCCAGCTGGGTCGGTATACACAAGGATACCAATCCAGATCACTGTGCCAGCCTAAAAATGAAAAAATAAAAAGTGTCATGTTGATCAGTTAGCTGGAATATGTGGCCAGCTTCATTTTACATTGAGCTGATATTTACTTAATTTAGACCACTTTAACCTAATGTATGTATATGCTTGTATTAAACGAATCCACCTTACAGTATAGGCATCTTTACATAAACTGTTGGCTTTATGTAGGCACAGCAATAAGCTTGCAGACTGTAAAAGCTATTCTGTTAGTTTTAAAGCTGAAACAGACATTCACCCCCCCCCCAAAAAAAAAAAAAAAAAAAGATCTTGTCAGTCTTTGCCATTGTATGAAAGAATAAGAAGCTGACAGTTGAAGACAAATGGCAGCAAAGTGCACAAAAACATTTACAGTCAGTTCTGAATTTGTCTTCTCACCATGATGATGCGCTGAGCCAGGCGCGTGCGAGCCAGGAAGTACACCACACGCAGCCTCTTGGGGAGCCTCAAGTTTCTAAAGGCTGGTGTCTGCAGAGTGATTGTATGCGGAGAGGGTCGCGGTGGAGGGGGTACCTCACGTGTACGCAGGGGGCCTGGCTTGGGTGGAGGCATACCTGCTTCAGCTGGCAGGCGGCGGTTCAGGTCAGCCAGCTAAAGGAAAATAATGAGGTTCACACTTTTTTTTTTTTTTTTTTTTTTAAACATCGTTTTTTGTATTTTAAGTCAACTTCACAATACATGCTGAAAATATCAAGAGTGATTATGTGTCTCAGTGCTGGTTGTGTTTTTTTTTTGTTTTTTTTAAATTTTAAACTCAGTTCTTGCCTGGTGCATAAAGGTTTACATCACATAAAACTCTTGTTACTTAAATCTAATGTTGAGTCCAGCATATTAACTCTGTGTGTGTGTGTGTGGGGGGGGGGAAGATTTGAAAGTATGCATATGCGTTTCTCACCTCCATGCGGCGAATGTCTATAGATAGTACAGTGGTGAAGAAAAACATCTGCAGGAAGAAGTCAGACACCAGCCCCACAACAGCAAATAAACAGAATTCCTAAAATAAACAGAAGAGACATTAACCACATAGAAGCATTTCCCACCTGGCTTGATTTAGCATTATGCTTTGCTTATTTAATAACAATAACTTTAACTACAGTTTTCTCCTGGTGCACTTCCTTCAACAGTTGCAGCACTTGTCCTCTTACCTGGATAGCTGGCACAAGAGTGAAATATCCAATGAGGATAATACACAGCTCAGTGGCCATATTCTTCATGATAGACCAGCTCTCATTACTAAGGCCTGAAAAAACAGAACAACAATCAGGGAAAAATGAAGAAATGCACAATATTTAATAAGCCGTAACTAAACTACATTCTCCAAACTTACCTTGAGCTATGCGCAGTTTGACCTCGAGGTCGACAGGGGTGGAAACCACAGACTTGGTGAGCACCAAGACGTTCTCCAGCCCGATTACCACCACCAGATAAGGGAAGATCTCACTGCAGGGAGAAAAATAAAATACCCTCAACTTTGAGTACAGTTATCTTTGGTAATATACACTTTCACCACATTACCACTGTGTGGAATTCTGTTTAAATTACAAACACAAATGTACTTTAATTTGACTTTAATAATGCAAATGTATGTGGTCCACTCCTATGTTTTGTTTGTTTTTTAGTTATAAAATCAGTCATTTAGGGTTCAATTTCTCTATTTTTTTTTTTTTTTTTTTTTTTTTAAATTCTTGGCCCACATAGCTGGGAATTTCCCTGAGATTAGTATGTGTGACAGATTAGTTTGACAGGATAGATAAGCTTTAGATGAGGCAAGTGTATAACTGGGTCACACACACTCAGTAACACTGTACATAATAAAACACACACACACCCAACACTATCTGTATCTCACCAGCTTTGTGTGTGGAGTCAATTATGACTCTGCAGATTTGCATGTTGCAGTCATAGTTTTGGTACGTTGGCCTTGATGTGTGTTTATGCAAGCACATGGCCTGGGCATGCACAGCCCATGGAGGACTTGCATGGATCTTAGTGGCTGGTTAACAGTACCACTGTCACGCCATGAGGTCTGCTTCCTAATAAACAGCTCACGATTGGACAGCCATTAAACGTCAGTATCTGAATACATCTGCCCCATATTTCAGTCCATCCCACTTCCACACAGTGTTCTTCCTTTTTCATACACACTAACACGCTGTTTGCCCACATGAAGTGATCATTAACAGAACTCCATGTACGATCAATACAGAAGAAGAGGAAAGTCAAAAGTCAGGTACGTGCACGTGAGTTGGTAAAAATAAGGATACAACTGACAGCCAGCTAGAGGTGTTAACATTAACAGGATACATTTTAATGTCAATAAGAGCAGGAGAACAATGAAATTACTGCCAACATAATTTCAGTGGTGATTCACAAGTTAAACTCATCCTTCAACCTCTTAAGTGTTTTCAGGCTGCCGCAAAGAGTTGACTCTGTTCATTTGGACATGGTGTTTTCAGAGAGTTTCCTGAAAACGCTACATCCAGACGAACAGAATGAATTTTTTAGGACTTCCTTACCTGGATGATTGAGCATGCATGAAGACAGCTTTTAGGCTGGTTTAAACAGCATTCATAATAAAGAAAATGTACTGTAAAAACAGTTAATGCACTTAAAAGTGTAAGGAGCATTCAAGTGCTAATCACTACAGTCTGAAGTTAAAGCTACTGTGGAAGGTAAGTGCAACAGCACTGGAAGCTACTTCAGTTAACTAACATACAACGATGCCATATGCATTAGTTTCTACATGCAAATACGAGAACAAAACAAAACAAGTTTTTACTTTTTAAAAAAAAAAATGGCACTGACTGGAATAAAACTGATTCCTTGCTTTGACGTTTATGGTGTAATCAAGGGAAACAATGAGTATAAGTCATGAAAGTACAAGTACCAAGTTGCTCTCAGTGATGCAAACATACATTTTTGCTGCGTCTTGATTAAACTGTTTTCTTGGCTGCCTGATTTTTGAAACAGTCTCTGCATTCCTTGGCTTAAATTTTAGGCTGAAATCTAATAAGCGTCTGCTGCCAAAATGGCATGTGCGTTACTGTTCCTGGCAGATGAACAAGAGCAGAGACCAGACCCCTTTAGTAATCTTCAGACACTCAAGTATGTAGAAAATGGTTTTTACCCTCCATTAAGTGTGGGTGTCAGTCCAAACAGTGTACACAGACCCACAGACATGAGCAGAGAGCTGAGCACTGTGACCACAGCAGCCAGAGCAAGGCCCCACTTAGATTTCACCATGTCGATCTTACCTGCAAGGAAGAAAAAGATGATATGTTGAGGACTTCACACTAACCAGCTGTACAACTATTCAAATCCTCAGCCAGACCTTGTCTTAAATCAAATGATGGTGATCATGTAGAGAAGGCGTTTAAGCATTTCCAAAATTACATTTCTAGATGGCAGGTGATGACACTGAACACTAGGCTTGCTGATAAAATATGCAGGGGTTATGAAATGAAACTGTACAGGCTATCCATTTCTCAAACTTGCAGGTTTTCTTTGAAATGACAATTCTGAAAATGACTACGCTGTAAAATAAAACAGCAGCTGCATATTGTTGTAACAGATGTTTGTTCAATTACAGTTTTCCAAGGCAGCCTCAAGTGTACACTCTGATTTTCCAGACTGGAAGGAGAGGTCTTTCTCAGAAGGGAACAGATAGCAAAACAACGATGAGACAAATAACTGAACTTTCTGACCCCGATGTATCAAAAATAAGAATGAAACTTAAACAGACTCAACATAAGAAAGAAAGCTCCGTTTTATTATCGAAGCAAAGAAACATCGTGGACCCTTCTCACTTCTCAGCTTTCCTCGAACCTCAGGAGAACAGAAATAAAGACTGTGCGCTTCATCTTTCTCACACATTCTTTCCACTGTCTAATGCTGCACAGACCCTGTTTCATATCACACGTCCTAAATAAAATTCCCTTCTTTTTACTGTTTAATGTGAATTTCATGAAGAACGGTTATACAACTGCAGTGGCTGCCAAGTTCTGCTGAATGCTTTTTCCCTTTATTTACATATTTTAATGTTTAAAAAGAAATACAATTTTTCCTTAAACTGTACTTTACGCAGCACCACTTTTCACTGTCTGAGACACTAGCAGCCCAGTCTGCTCTGACGTGTAATCAAAGTTTCTTCACTTTTCAGTTGGCATAAAAGTCAGGCAATGTTGGTTACACATGTAACACTGAAAGTCAAAGAGCTGTTGATGCTAAAAATCTGAATCATAAAAAAGCGACATGCTAAATATTTCTCTGGTGGTCAAAATTACAGCACAGCCATTTCTTCAACATCTCTGAATGGTTACATTTTCAGAGGATATCAGGATTTTAGTAGCAAAGTGAAAAATTGTGTTTGCATTGATTGTAATGGTGTGCGTGTGTGATTTCTTGCTTGTTTCACTGTTTAACAACAAATATTGTGTTACTGAGAATTTAAAACAGCATGAACTTGCAAAGAGCAGGAAAGATGTGCTAACAACAAACATCAAGGTATTTCTCTGAAGCTTTGGAGATACTGACATCAAAATAAAACCTTACACTTGTGTTTACCTCATATTTTCTGTGATCACAAGGTGTTCCGGTATTATTATAGAATATTATGGCTCTCTTTTGGGTTCATTAAGAAACAGTCTCATTGAATAATTATCTAAATTATTATACTGCAATTACAAGTGCATATCAGGAGCCAATTGTGAGTAATTTAACCACCTTGCAGGTGAAAATTCATTTGAGTACTTGGACGGCGTGTGTGTCTGTGTGCACGAGTGTGTGTGTTTGTTCCCTGAGCTAATGTTTGTGCTGGCAAGCTGCCGATGGTTTGGTGGCTGCATTCTTACAGCGGTGTGCAATGTTCCCATGTGAGGATTATCCCTGCAGCAGACAGGGACAACCTTGGCACCCAAACACTTGTGCACACAAAAGGGCACAGCACGTTTTGCCCTCATTCTCTGGCACTTTTCTGTTTTAACTGTGGTGAGTTGTGCAAACAAGTGGTAGTGGTGGGGGAAGTCGAGATGTTTGAACACTGCACCAAGTACAAAGCAGATTTAAAGGGAGTTGGACTAACGTGTAGAGAAGTAGATGTAGGCAAAAAGAATGATGTATGTGGTGACGAGCGGGATGAGCTCAGCAATGCCGATCTCCTCCTTGAAGTGGACGTGAACCATGTGGTCATCTCTGAGGGTGCAGTTGGCGGATGGGTGAAGCTGCTTCAGGCGGGCCCGTAGGCTGCCTAGGAACCTGGACACACACACACACACACACACACACACACACACACACACACACACACACAAATAACAATTAATCATCGTCACATGGAGTAACAAACTTCATCACTCCATTTTTAATTTTGAGAAACAGACACTTTGCCTCGAGGGACAGATGCCATTAATCCAAGGAGAAGACAGTTCTGACTATTTATGCCGTTCTATTGAAAAAGTGAAATACAATAAAATGCAAAACCTAAGTCACAGACTCCTACTCTGTTCAGGCTCCAGAGTTAGTTTGTAGATCTCAGTTTCAGTTAGTTTCCAGAGTTGGTTTGTTCTTTTAGTTTAGTTTTTAATGTATAGAAACATAGTTTGACCGTGGGCAAGCCCAGAACAGACAGACGATACAACAGAAAACAATTTCCAAAAGACACTTGACTCAAAGTCATGGAAACATCCCAGTCTCACGCTCCTCAAGCTTCTTCTCTGAAAATTTTAGTAAACTACAAAAGATTGAAATTTTTCCAATTTAGTTCCATTAGTAAAATATATATTTCTTAAGTGTAGTTTGTAATTATCTTTTTTATTTCTGTTTACCGATTTTAACTCTATTAGTTTAAAGTTTAAGTGTGTATTTTGTGTCTTAAGCTTTTTCTAAAGCAGCATTACCGCCCAAGAGTCACAGAGTTAGAGATGACAAAAATATGAAACGAGAAAAAAAAACAAAACAAAAAAAAAAAAACTACTAAATTTTCCAGTGACATCCCTTAAAACTAAATTTAAATAGAACTGGCTTTTAGTTTTCTGTTCTATTGCCTTTGTAACTCACCTTGCATCATAACTGGATAGAACTACAGTGATTGTATAGGTCACCACCCTCTTCCTGTTGTAGTGACTGACCCCCGAGTACTTCACAGGAACCCCGAACAGCAAGTCTAAAACACACACAGTAAACATCTTCATGTAAATAGACTCTTCATATTCTAGTAACAGACCACCTTTTTACAGATCACTTTAGGTTGACCACTGGTTATTTATTAGTCACCAGCCAAACATTCTCAAAGCCCTTAGGTCTGTGTCAGAACAGATACAGTTACCACTTCTTTATAAGAATAAAAAGAAAAGAGACGTTTTAGAGCAGTTTTAGGCTTAGAAAGCTTTGTGGGAATCTGCTGTTGTCACCAAGTTCTTTTGATCTTAGTCACAACACAAGGAAACATCTTAGTGATCAGGAGCACATGTGAAAGCAGAAAAAAAAATACCTCACTGTTTTAGAAAAAAAACAAACAAACAAACAAACAAACAAAAAAAGCAAAACAAAAAACCCCTAAGTGACAACATCCTGGTTTCAATAATGAAGTTAAACTGCAACTTGAAGCTCACTCGAAAAGCAAATCAATCCATCAGCTCTGGTCTCAGACATGAGGGTGAAGTTATAAAGGAGTAAATAAGTTCAGGAACCAAAATGGCAACTGCTATAAAACTAAAAACTAAGCCATTAGAATGCAAGCCTGGAACACAATCACTAAACTCAGATCCATCCATACGTTCACAAAATGACCTCAAAATACATTCATCCTCACTGACTGCCATTTCTCATAGTTATATATTTTACACTGGGTACCTGGTGGAGTTTGGGGCTCCCCTGCCCTGCAAGAGCAGCTGAAATATAATCCCCAATGTAACCAGGCTGACAAGCCTCGAGTCAGCTCAGTGTGAACAAGCACATCAGTCTAACTTTATCTGACAGCCAAGCTGTCCCTGACTATATCTTTAATATCTCTTGAAGTGGCAGATGTGGCAAAATGCTGAAGGGGAAACTTGGTTCACTATGTCAGTGGGTAGCATTTTAAAAGAATTCAATAAGTTCCCAAGGAATGAAACTGCTTGTTCTCCGTCAATACGAAAGCCTCTTAGTTGGCTGATACAACTAATCCCCTGCTCACTACTACCGACAATTACTCATGCTGAATGATGGCAGACTACTTTCAACAAGGCAGTCAGAGTATAACACATTCTTTCCCCCTGTACTTCAACCGACTATACAATAGACACGAGGTACTCAATATGGTGATCAACAATGGTAGTTTCTGACAGACTATTTAAAAATGCCTGTAGTTCAGAATGAATTAGTCATCTCATGGATCATTGCATGGCAAAAAGCAATAAGAACACAGGCCGGACTGGAGCTTTCAGATTTTGTCGAAATAAAAAAAAAATGCTCCCACACCTACTGACAGGCGTGAGAACATTTCGGACACAATGACACAATGTCCTATTGTATTACGATTTGTTAATTACTTAATACATCGATTTTCACAAGGACCAGTTAAGGAAGCACTGAAGCTCTAATCTTGGGCACGCTTCAGGATGACACCACATGCTCTGTGGACGGTGACAGAGACTTTGTCTGAACACATTCACTTAACCACTCCTTGGCAGGGTACGCAGTGATCACACAAGTCACACAGTTGGTTACAGTAACAATTATTAGAATGTGAGTAGAACCTCAAAAAGAGAAATGTCCAAGGGCTTTTTCTGAGTAGAATATGGTAGCAGACCAAACTGAGTTATATTTATGTACTCGCTTGTTGATCAAAGGTCTGTCAAGGGAATGGTTTGTTAGCAATACTGTACACAGAACCTACTGCACACACACACACACACACGAGGGGAGGCCACTACTGAATCAGAGCTTTCCCAATTACTACCTCGCAATGTCGCTGAGGTGTGCAAGCCTTTCGGTTCATGTTTCTGGATGGTCTTGAGGGGGTCGGGGTCCGAGTCAAACAGCTCTCGTTGGTTCTGCCAGTAGTTGCCAGGAGAAACAAGAAGGCAGCCATGCTCTGGCAGCACCGACTGCATCCGCCGTAACCCTGGAAACAGATCTGTCACCTGGAGACACAAAGACTCCAGACTGCGAATGCCGGAGCTGACAAGACAAGAACGAGACAGCGGTAAAGACAAGAGAAGAGGAGGTGTGACAGAAGACGAGGAAATCAATGCAGTACAGCTCACGGATACCAAATGCTCCTGGAATAAATGAGATTTAAATAAACTAATAAAGTATTGAACAGCAATAAATCGTTAATGTAAAAATAGTTAAACAAGTATTTAATTGAAACCAGAAGCACAAAAGCAAAGCAAACTGTTCTGGGAACTATCATTGATACAGTAGATTAGTCAAACAGAACAAACCATAAACTTTGTAGTTTACAACAGATCAATAACTCAAGGTCATTGATGTTTATCTCCCCCCCTTGGACTAAATTCAAAGAAGCTTTTGGTTCACAGCTTTCCTTCCACAGCCCTCTGCTCTAGTCTTTCCTTATACTTAGACTACACTTCATAATGTAGTATTTTTTCCATTGTGTTACTGCAAATTTACCACCGTCACATATCAGTGCACCCAAGCTTACCTGTCGGAGTGAACATGGTTGCGGAGCTCTTCCAGCAGATTGAAGACTCGCCCAAGAGGCGACCGAAAGACATCCACCGGCACCAGGCTGTTGTCCCATGGAGACACTGCTGCCTTCACCAACACCTGCTGGATGTAGGCGACCGGAGGACCCCGGTACTAGGGCAAACATGTAGGCAACTTATTAAGAAACAGATTGTGATTAAGTACAATGAACCAGCTACTACTGCTGACTGATTTTAATATTAGTATTTAATATTAACTAAAAACGTATTCTTTGTTTCTTATTCCCCTTGTTACAGCAAATTAAAACTAGTGTTGACAAATCGTGTGAGCCACTGTTTTACTATTTATGAGCCTCCAGCTTTGCCCAGCCATCATTTTTGAATATTCAAGCCTAAGATTAAAATGTATTTCAGGTTTGAATGCCATAGCTTAAACACATCCTAAGGAAATAAAACAAAAGTGATAGTCAGAAACAGTACAGAAATACAGAATCTTATGGATTTCATGTTTTTTTTCTCCTACCCAGTCAGGGCGCTCTCCAAAGTCACCCTGAGGCTCATGGAAAGGAACGCTGTAGTCTCGCAGCCCTGTGGTGAACTCCACAGGACCCGTCCCAGGCAGGGGGAGCCTCAATAATGGATAGCTAGCAGGAAGAGAATGTGGGGGGGGTTTCACATGTCAAACAATAGGAACAAAGGAATTTAGTTCAACTTATATTTTTGCATCTACATCCTTTTGTTCATTCATTAATAAATGGAAAAGACATTCTCACTGTAATGCAAACCCACATGCATGCTTTCAAAGAAAGCATCAGACAGCTATACACTAAGGACCAATGAAGCCACCATGATAACGGTGAGTGCTTCCCTGTGATGCATGTTGCAACACTTCTGAGTAGATGAAACCAGCACCTCTGGCTTTTCCTGCCAGATTAAGTTTCATGCGCAACCCAGAGAGACCCGCTCCCTAGTTCTCCTGGAAATGGGCAGGTCTTCAAGAAAACAAACTTCATCTGAGAACCAAACCACTCCCTTCTTTCCTTCCTTCTCTGCATGTGTCTATATGTAGAGGAAGCACGTTCAGTTTGAAATGATAGTGTTGAGCAACCCTGAAAAATACCTGAAAGACTGAGCTGGTGGTGGCAACAGAGGTGGATGGAATAAAGCTTTTAAAAGACTCTCTGAAGTGTTTTGGATGTATGCCCACTGTCTTGGTGCTTACTTAAAATGGAAAAAAGTCATCACAAAATTATCAAAGGAAGTCAATTCCTTCTTAAAAAAAAAAAAAAAACACAAACAAACCACAAACTACATTTTTATTTTTTTCTTATGCCTAAATTATGTCTAATTCAGCCAAAAGTAATCAAATGTGCCTTCATCAGCTTTATAATAGGGATTTTAGCAGAGCACCTCAAGCTTCCCACTCAGGCTACAACTAACAACTAATTTTATTCTCAATTAACGCAATGCTGACTTTCTGAATTCGTTGATTTTGTCAAAAACAAAAAAAAAAAAACACTGATACACCTCTATTTGTTTGCATAACCTTAATCTAAGGTCGTGTTGTAGTTGATAAATAGTCCAAAAGTCAAAATAGTTTTAATGTCAAAGAAATGCATCAAATTCTCACATGAGAGAATGTAAAAGAAATTAAATATTTATATTAAAAATAAATCATGATTTAATTATCAAAAGCAGCTGCTGACAAATTGTTCACTTTTAATTAAACTAAGCTGTAGCTGTGCTGCCCACATGGCTGTCGTCGAGGCCGCTGAGGATAAAACAAAGTAAGAATTCATCTAATAAAAATGAGCTCTCTCCTAATGAGGTCAAGCCTGGAGAAAATTAAGTGCTCCCCAAACATCACCATTGCACACTTTTTTTTTCTTTTTTTCTATAAAAATGACACAATACAGCCTTCAGCAGTTGAGCTGTACCCCAGTTTAGCAGTATAAATAAAGTTATGTTTTAATTTTTGATGATGTACATCTTTAGCTGGAAAAGGAAAAGTGGTCTGACAGAGGTTCAGAAATCTCAGCAGCTGATGAAGGCTCAATTGGGTCACTGGTACCTTTGTTTCCAGACAGCTTATATGAACATATTGTACTCTAATACAAATATCAATTCTTGTCTTTTCGATGGAAACCTCTGCCTACTTTTCGCTGTGCCTCACCTCCCTCTCCCTCATGCCTCCTCCACTCTCCTAGGTCACTGTACCTCCACAAAGGCCTCTTTTGTGCCGAGCCAGCCCCCCTCCTGACAAGCAGATGGAGGGACAGGCATCCCATTCTCACAGGGCCACTTTCTCACAGCCCTCTGCTCTAGCCCTGCCTTAACATCCCCGTCGTCCAGCTCTTTTCTTTCATTTTACCCCGGGTGGTAGTTAGTCGCCCATTTGGTCAGCACCCCTGCTGTAAGTTGCAGCAAGGACAGCACGCTGCAGGTGCATGTGTGCATTTCTGATTGTTTTACAATGCCTTTACTTACAAAGCCTATCAAACTCTGACCCACGTCCTCTCTTTTGAGGAGTGATTTAGCAAGAGGAGATATGTGCGTGAGTTCAGTGAATGTTTGTGTCATCGTGTCAGCAGGAGGCTGTTGTGTGTGTACAGATGGCCAGTTAAACTGAGCTGAACTGGCCAACTGAGTTTTCCCCTCTGAAGTCACTTTCTCCATCTGTCTGTTTCTGTAAAGTGGATGACAAGATTTCCTCTCATCTTTTAACAGAGTTGGTACTAAAAGGAGGTCATCATGTCCACAGGTTCTTGCAAAACAGTCTGCTGTACTGTTTAGTAGATTTTGACTGGACTAGGGCTGCCACAAACGATTATTTTGATAGTCGACTAGTCACCGATTATTTTTGCGATAAGTCAACTAATCAGATCGCGCATCCATTGGACGTAAAACGTACAGCTTATTGCACCAGCATGCATCTGCTCTTATATAACTATCATTAGCTTACAGCTGTAAGTGTTTAAGGTATGTGCTAACTAAAAATAAAGATGCAGATTGCAGTGTTTTGGTGGAGTTTAATAAACTTAGCCGTCTGCTCCTTGCTATCTAAAATATAACAGGACACCGGAGTATATTCTCGAGCATCTCACACTTCTGATAATCAGCCGTCTGCTTGACGTTTATTAAGCTGTGTAAAAACTATAACTTTAATCTCAGCCAAACTGATTTACTCAGGAACAAATAAAATACTAAAAAAAAACAAAAAACAAAAAACCAAAGAATCACATTTAAGTTACCTAAGTGACTTTTATATCATGTTTAACCTGAGTAGCGAAAGACGGCGGTGGGTTTGAAAACGATTTGCCGGGAGTCCGGTGTTCTCACCAGCTCTAGTGAGCCTTGCCCCGTTCAGTCCGTTATTACGCTCTTAAATCCTACTACTTATTCCTGCATCTTTCGTGATCTTACAAAGCTTCAAACGATGCGTCAACTATTAAATTAGTCGTTGACGTAATCGTGACTAGTCGACTAATCGTGGCAGCCCTGGACAATGTTTCAAAAGCAGTTTTCTGAACCCTGCATAGGTGGTCAACTAGCTGGTCACAGTACAACTGTTCAACACAACCACACTCTCTGGGAAGGTAAAAAGTGAATCTGAGGAGGGGGAAGGTGTATCTTAATAAGGAATAAGAGGGAGCATAATCAGACAGTTTCACCATTAACGTACTTGGTTGTATACAAGAACAAGAACACGAGTAGATGCTTCACAATGAACTCATCAGTATAACACGTAGGTGTAAATACCAGCTTGTCAGTTTTTCAAAGTTAAAAAGAAATCCATATTACTGAAACTGTTCCCTGTATGCTAAAATTACTTATATTACACTCAATACCTACCAGCAGGTGAGGATGCTGGCCGAGGTGAAGAGGATGATGGGTACTGGATAGGAGGCACACAGCAGCCCGTGGCGGTAGAAGGCCGCTGAAATCTTCTCTCTCAGCTGCTCGCGCAGCGTCATCTTGGTGGGCTTGGTCAACTCCCGGCCATTGGGAAGAACTGGGCGGCCGAGGACAGTTCGCCGCGGGGCATCCAGGGACCTACGAGTGCAAGCGAGTCAATAGATTCACCGAATGAATATTTAATTTCACACATTTTAAAGCCAAAACTCATGGGATAATTTTGACTATAAAATTATTCATTTTAAAACTTTTAATTAAGTTGTTTAATGATTTTCTAGGGGGAAAAAATGTCTTATATACTCCTATGAGATCTGAGAGTTCAGAGAAAGGGGAAGGGAAGAGGGGAAGACTTTCTATTTAAGACTAAACTTGTTATGGAGATTCATCAGACATAGTGAAACTGAGTGAAATCCTGTTTTATAACTGATAAATAATTATTTGCATACATAAGACATATTTCCTTTTCAGACATAACATTTGACATCCCAAATTACAATAATTTTTTTTTTTACTTCAATATTTTAATCTAAGAAAAGCATAAATTCCTTCCAGAGAAAATAGATTGTACTTTTTAAATACTGAAATTGCTGACACTGCATCCAATCAGTCTAAATAATGCAATCTTATAAAGATGTATTACAAAAGCAACAGTTTTCATATTTTTAAATAACTGGCACAGTTATCACTGTTTAGACGCAAGCACATGTGGAACAAAATAGCAGCACAGAGGCAAGTTTTATAAATATTGTCATCCCTCTCTTATCAGGCCAAATCGTGTAGTGCATCTCCACAGACTAACACACAGAAACAGAGGTCAGCTCTATTACTGAGAAGCTCTGTCCTGGAAAACTAATTTGTTACACACATCTTGTGGTGCCATTCTTACTGCTAACTAAAGGCACAGTGTGGTTTTTTTCGTTCAAACCAGCTCATACTGTGGTCACATGCTGCATAGCACTTAAACACACGACTCATTCAGTAGCCCAAAAGGTGTGGACACATTCCCCACGGTGGAAAATATCCAACTGTGGTACAGCAGTGAAACATACATGCTTTACTGGTCACACCTGGGGAAAATTACAACCTCCACGTTCCCTGAAACAACAGTTTCTCAGAAATTTCCTGTAAAGTTACATTTAGATAATAATGCACAGGAGGATATGATGGTGAAAATGGAAGAGGGTAATGTTTAACTATTTAAAGAAATAAAATAAAATAATAATAACAACAACAACAACAACAACACAGGTACTGAAAAGCTATTTGTAGAAGACGAATTCATTAAGTCATTAATCATTAGTCACCACCTAAATATCTTTCGACCTTTGGACAGAGAAAGCAATTGGAACACATATCTGACTGCTGGACTTCTTAGCAGTCTTCCAACATGAATCATCCTTTGAACCAGTCCTAATATTTCCATAGCTATAAACAGAACAAAATGCTTTTCATACAACAGGATGCCCCGAAACTCTGAATACAACAGTCCTGTATACTCATTATTGATGCTAATGAATTCTAGTAGCTGAACTTTTAGGTAACTTTGATGATCCCAATTTATCCAGCCATGGTACAGCACACATACTATGTGCCATATGGTATAAAGGAAACAGCTAAAGGAAACCAGCAAACTTGTTTAGCTATTTCCATCGATTGAAATTTAAAAGTTAGATAGTTGTGTAGACCACATTCTTTCATCCATATTATAGGAACTGAAGAATTGTTCTCTGGCATAGGTGCACATTTTATACACATTATATGAGTATCGACAGAGATATGTACAAGTACACAAAAAAATATTTTTAACTGACACCATGCACTGATAATTTGTCAATCAACCAACCAACAGGTTAACATACTCTTAACTCTGATTGGCATCATAATCTCTGGTTTCCATTCTATACAATAATAATCACAATCATGACAACGTCTGGAAATTGACCATCGTTCAAATAAAGAAATGTTAATGTTAGGACCTTGGAATGAAGTAAACTGCCAGACTAACTGCTTGAGTTTGATGCGACTTATCTGAATTCAACATTTGATTTCTCCAGCCTGACCCCCCTAACATGACTCTGTGCTTGAACACTGATGTCAACTCAGCTGGAAAAACTGAACTCTTTGACGTAAAGGTGGTTCACTTAACAACAAACGCAATCACCAAATTGGCCTCCAATCGCAGTTCTCGTTTCCCTGTTTACTCAGTCGGCACGTTCAGAGCTGCCTATCAGTGTAAACACTGCTCTATTAAAATATTTAACTGGGTTTCCTGGCACACATGCAGCAGCTGGATTTGTTCAGTATCTTAATCCACCCGCTCTCACCTCAGCTTCTAAAATCATGTCAATAAGCAGCATGAAACTGTTAACCAAACAGTGTTGTTAGACAAGTTAGGCTGTTCTAAGAGCATACCTGCCAATGGGAGACCAGTTTATCTCTCTGGCTTGCACCCGCTGAAGTCCCCTGAAAGCAGAAACGGTGGGTTTTTTTAGCTTTACGTGCGCTTTATGGTTAACACAGTGCTCCCTCCTCGACTCAGACAGACTGTGTAATTGCTCCGCTTGTCCCCCCGAGAACAGCGGAAACATTCCCCGGGAGGAATTTGCCTCAGGAGTCTCTTGATCTGCTGTTATAAATACTCCATACAGTAAACACAGCAATGTCCTAGTAACCTTGCACAATAGGTGCAGCAAATGTTAAAGGCAGATTTTGAAGTAATGACTTTCTGCTCTCAACCTGGTCCTGGTTCCAGGGGCCGTCTTGCCAGGGAAAATTTTCAATGAATGCCTCCATCTCTCAGTTTGTCCAGCAGGGTAAATGGGTGTAGCTGTAAGGCCCAATTTGGCAAAGGGTCAGCACCATCTCCGTCAGTGAACTAATCCCGGATTGAGCTGATCGGAAACTCAGCGAGCAGGGCTCAGGACCTGTAGCCATCCCCCATCATCTCCCTCCTCCTCTGGCCAAAGCCGGCCAGCGTACTATTATGCCAGTTACAGCAAGCCAAGACATTCACCATCTCAAAAGCATGGTGTATTTGAGAGAGGCTTGACAAGTAAAACGTAACAACTAGGGCAGATATATTAACACCAGTCACAGGTCAAGTGCTGGTAAGGAGTAGCCTTTCTCTTATCTTCAGCCATTTTTGGCAAGTGACCAGCAATTATTCAGAAATCCTATTCTGTATCACAAGATAGACGATGGTGTTCCCTAACAAACACTATGGCTGTAGTACATTAAAAACAATATATATTATATAACACAAATAATATTTCCTGACTAAGTCAGGGAAAAGTCTCAGCTGAATGAATAACCATGTGCATTTGTGAGTATGTGCTAAACAAATAATCTAAGAAAGAACAGCTTGTATGCATCTTACATGAAAACTCAGCACATTTACTCACAAAACACAGCATTTCACATTGCAAGTGCAAATTCAGTTAAGGAGATCATTGTGGACCTCTTTAGTGTACCTTTCCGATTAAGACTAAGGTAAGACTTTGTCAAAAAGCACAAAGCTAAAAGACTGCTGCTATGAGAAAAATGGTGCACGGAGTTTATAGATGCAAATTATCAATAAAATTTAGAAGCGCAAAGCTTACCTCTTTTCAACACATGCCATGAATGTAAATTCCTTAAACAATATTTCCTCATAAACTGCTGCAAATCCAAGCACCATACCAATACCCACAAACATTCCAGCAAGCATTAAGCTGTGTCCGTTCTTTGTGGCATAATTGCATCAAAATTCAGTGACATAGTTGCATAATTCTGAGGCATGCGCCTCTGATAACTGAAGACCATTAGTCCTGCTATAATTGCAGAGAGCAGCTCAATATGGATGAGCCGACTTTTACAACCAGCGCTGATGAGAAAAGAGGGTAATGTCCTGTCAATGAGTAACCACATTTGAATAACAGATGGTGCGTAATAGGCGGTCTACTTCCTTAAAAGCACCTCTCTCAAAATACAGTTTTTAAAAATGAAATATATCTTGGTTAATTGATGGACATATACTAAATTACTTGCTAAAGTCTTCTTTACGCTCTAAGGTATACTAAAGCAACCAGGGTTGTGACATAGCCATCACAAGACAATGAACAACTGCAAGAAGGATGATGCAACCCTGTTGCAATATCACCTGCTGGTAATCACAGTAATTATCAAACCAACAATCAGAAACCGGCAGGGATTAATGAATAAAATCAGAAAGTGCAGTTTAAATATGTACACGTCTTAATTTCATTTATAAAAACTAACATTAGAAAGTGCCTACCAACAAATGTCAAATTGAGCGAGAAGACACCACTCACCGAGCTGAAGCAATGATAAATTATGTTTACATGCAATTAAAAACCTCAAAGGGAACAGTTAAATCTCACCGTTTGCCCTGACAGGTTTATATTCCATATGAGAGCATCTAGCTTTATTATTAAAATGGCATGTGCAAAAAAGGCTAGCTGACAATATCCACCGCTACCTCATCATGGTTCATTAAATAACACTTAAAATGCCTTAAACATAAGAGCAGAAAACAAGTGCTGAACAAACAGCTATAATGATGATAGATCAATGTGTTTTATGTATTATGTAAAAACTTACGATGTCATGAAGCTCAGGCTAAACCTGCTAGCAAACAATTAGCTTTGCTAGCTGTAAATAAACCCGGGTCCCAATATGGCCCCACGCTTTAAGCTTAAAAAAGAAACAAATTGTGACAGTTAACATACCTCAATTAACACAGCTGTCGCTTATAAAGTACCACAGATTGATTCCAACAACGGCGCATAATAGAGTAAAACTACAGGTAGCATGCTTGGTGTTAGCACGTCGTTAGAGTGCGCTCTGAGATGCTCCGGGTTCATGTGTAAGTACCACACTTAAGTTATGAGCTTATTCGAGCCCGAAGACGGCAGCTTTAATGCTACATTCATAGCAACATTGCGTTACCTACATAATAAATAATTCAACTGTTCCGGTACTTTACACTTACACGAAGCTAAGTTTCACAGCTAATGCTAGCAGTGCGCAGCTCAACTTGCCTGGACAAATTTCAGAGTCCCTCCTAATGATGCTGTTGTTGTTGTAGTTGAACTGGTAAGCAATCGCTCTAGTCCTTCGGTTCCAGATTTTACTAAATGCTAACGCATATGCCTCCCATTAAACGCCAACATATAGACGCACCGTCTCAGCAGTTACTTGCTGTCATATCCCAATGAAACCTCTCCCCTTCGACCTCTCAACTTGCACGCTGTTACAGTGGGGACATCTAGTGGATATGATGGCGACTCTTTAGGCATCCTGTGCAAATTTAGGAACCAATTTCCTGTTTGAGTCTACGTGTCTGTGGCTTCTAGGCTAGATTATTGTAATTTATTATTATAGTGAAACTTGCTTTTATGTATGGGTCAGAGACGGTTGCACTGAAAAGACAGAAAGCAGGGCTGAAGGTGCCGGGAATAAGTACATAAGAGAGACAGATCGGGTTGTAGTCAGAGTTAGAGGGACAAGCTTGAGAAGGAGGGATAGTGGCTATATTGGACAAGGGATACTGACTATGGAGCTTCCAAGGATGAGGGAGCAAAACAGGAAGACCACAGAGAAGATTCATGGATGTAGTGAAGGAGGACAAGCAGAGGGTTTGTGTGGCAGGAGAGGACTCTAGGTATAGGGTGAGATCGAGGCAGATGATCTGCTGTGCTGAACACTAAAGGAAGTAGTCAGAAGAATTCTTATCAGGATGCCCTGATATCTTTGAAGACCTTTCAATTCATCCAAAATGCTGAAGGAATCAAGAGTACTAATATGAACAAAGGAGGCTCATAACTCTCTAATATTCTGTTCATTGACTCCCTGTTAAATCCTCGTCACTTATACAGCGCTTAATTAGGTCCATCATATTTTGAAGACCACGTAGTTCCATACTATCCCAACAGACCACTTTTCCTCACAACTACAAGTTTTAAAAATTAGGATGTGATGGAGCGCTTTCCATTTTGGGTTCAAGTGACACCCTCTCTACTTAGGTGACCACTGAGGATACTCCAGGCATTCAAGTACCACTATTAGACTGAATTAAGATTGTTTCTTCTTACTCTTTGGGCTCATTTGGGCTTTAGTCATTGTTAACTATTCCCACCTGTACCTATCTCCAGGTGTCTGCCTTCAGAGGTGGATTACCTCCCTAGGTATGTTTCTGCCAGAGGATTTTTCCAGTAAAATTTGAGTTTTCTGTTTTTAAGTGCTTACTCATGAGGTAGGCTTGGTTTCTCTCCAAACACATTTTACTTATGTGTTTTTCTTACAATGTAATGTACCCTGAGACAACTGTTGTTGTAAAATGTGTGCATTTAAATAAGAAAAAATGAATTCGATTTTATTATATTAACATTCATTGGCAACACGGCTCCACAAAACTGTTCTGTGAATAATACTTTTATTCATTAACACGATTCTTTCAAACCACCAGCAATCCTGCATTCTGAGTATTTTGTTGAGTCGTCCACTGAAATCGACCAAATAATGACAACATCACGAGTCAGCATGATAATAACGCTGTCCTCTGGAGATTCAGAGGTCTGGAATTGGATCACAATGTCCTTCCATCACAAGGTTTGGGATCCAGACACTGTTTGCTGACAGCAGTGACCAGCCATGGCCAATTCACCAACCACTTTGGCAGCATTTGCTATTTGCGCAACATGAAAACATAACAGTGGTTGGTCTGTTGTCACGTAAAAGAGACTAAATGTGTCTAAGGGTATAACTAGAGAACAGCGCTGGATGTCCCAGGAGCAAAGAAGGAGGCTCCTTTATCGTGGACCTTGTACTGAAAAAGCTTCTTCTGTGTGTGCTGCCCATCGCCTCGTCTCCTCCTCCAACAAACCTCCACCTGAAAAACAACAGTGCACCTTGTGCTAAATTTGATACTGTTTAAGGACAAGAAATAGACACTAGATGGATTTTGTCAAGTACAGCTGAAATGAGATTAATAAAGTAATCAATCAACAGAAAATTAGTCAGTAATAATGTTCTTAATTACAAAAATGTTAATCACAGTTACCAAAAACAATCATTTTAGCCTCTTTCTGTTCAAATATTTGTAACTCTATAACATAGAAAGCTCAAATCGATTTTGACTTGTTAACTGAATCTAAACACCTGGATAATGAGCAGATCTGTGTCTCTGATGTGTTCAGTCTGAATTAGAAAATTTGCATCCACATACACACATACCTGACCGTGTATGTCCCTGCAGTAGCCAGTTGGGAGACCCTGTACATGAAGAGTGAGGCTGCACTGGTGGGTCAGGCCCTTGAGGAGCCACTCTGATCCCTCATCACTTCCATCATCCTCCGCTTCTTCTCCATGACAGCGTACCAGCATCACTATGTTCCCCTGCAGTGCAGACATGTTTATAAGAGTATTTGTAGAATCCATTGAGTTTAATTTGAGGAGAGGACTTTTAATCAAAGGGCATTTTGGTCTAACCTGTAGCTGAGAGCAGACTGTGGCTCTGCAGTAGTGGCTGAAGTCCAGCGCGGCTCCAGCGCTGACCCCCAGACTCAAAAGCACACTGACGTCATCCACCAGCAAAACGGGAGGACCCCACTCTTCCACCCCTTCCTCCCCACCACCATCACTGCTCACACTTGACCGCACAAACTCATACAGCCTCTGCAGGCCAACGGTAGGATCTCTGGGGACAAAGGAGGTGATGCTGTCAGACTAGTCAGTTGAGGTTTTTTGTTTTTTTGTCTTTTTTTTTGTTAACACGTTATTATTTTTAAATATGTGACAATTATGCAATGAAAGTTATAATGAGTAAGAACAGTGGTTATACCTGAGGAAGTCCATGGCTTGACTTTCTGTTGTGGTTTCTTGAGGAATCAAAATAGATAGCGACTCCTTAAGGCCCTCTAGGAAAATCAGCTGACCCCTTTCCCTTGCCTGTGTTAAACTTACACCCTGAGAACACACATTTCACGCAAAAAAAAGAGGTTTTTAAAAAAATATTTGACTCCTGTTGTGTCACTAATAAAGCGTTTTAATTCTGCTGCTGATCCTTGTTTAAATAGATTTAGATCTTGAATAAGATATCATGTCTTTAATGACAGTGGCTCACTGGGGAAGGATATGGAAATTGCCCTTCATGCCAGTGGTTTTGATGTTTTCTTGCAGAAAATGTTAGTTAACACTCACCAGTCTTTGACTGATTGCACTGTAGTGACTGAAGGACTGCACCAGACCCAGAAAGCACACTTTGCATCGCGCTAAAACAAAAAAAAAACCAAACAAAAAACAGATTAAACACATTAGCTGTTAAACAGACAGATAGAAAATGACAATACTGTGGCAAGTTACACCTCACCTCGCAGGTAGAAAGACAGGAAGTGGTGAATGAGGAAAGAGGCATCACTCTGTCTGTCAGACACTAAAATAAATTCCCCCTGTAGGATGGGCATTGTGGCACTTAATGACGCTGGATAACTTGCAGTGCACTTAAGCTCGTTACAAATACACGACTACAAGTAAAGTAGTGTTCAGTGAGACTGAAAATACTGCATTCCTTACCTGAGTGAAGCTGTCTGGAGTGGCGTTCAGGATGCTGTTGAGCTCTGTAAACATAGCTAACCTTGGAAGCTAAGCTAACGGTAAATAATACAAGCTAAACGGTTTCAAAGTGACACACACCAGGAGATTTTAACAGAAATTAACCGACATGTCTGTTTTGTACATATATGGGATAAAATTAAAGGCTTACGATTCTATTTTTAACAAATCAAAGATTAGAAAGCTTTTCTCCACAGTCTCTGCTTTCTGCTTGTTGTTAACGCCTGGAAATTTAAACCAAAGAAGAGGTCTCACTCCGACTCTTTATCCGTGAAAATCTTTTCGATCATTTTCACAATTGTTTTTATTTTTGGCACATTACACTCAAGCTATGATAAAGACAAATATTAAGGCAAATCTTAATATTTGACTTACGATCATACTAAAATAAATTCCACTACGGGCTAGCAAACAGGAAAGCGTGGTAGCGAGTGCGCATCGTCTTCATAGACAATCTTCGTAAGCACATGGCAACTTCTTCGGCGTTGCCGTCTTAATGTCGTGTGCAAGCAGCCCCACATGCTGGTGGTACTGTGGTAATAGACGTGGTGGTAGATGCAACCCGAGTATTTCACAAAAACAGTTATATACAGGAATATATGTTAAAGTATTATTATTATTATTATTATTCCATGGTAATAGTAACCAATTTCACCTCAGAGATGCACCTGCACACTCCAGTCTTCATCTCCAGAGACACACTTTTTCCTCTGACATTTTTCTTTACATCTAGCATTTAAATAAGTTCCAACAGTGATATGAAATCTATATCTAGCAGCCCACAAAAGTGAAATGAAAAACTGCAATTAAATATTTCTATTTGCTATGCATTTTTAAAACTGTCATTTTGCATCTCTTTTGTCGCTTGAATGTCAATCAGTATTGGCTTATTATTAATCAATTAAAGATCTGAAGATTTAATCTCTGCACATTCATCACTCAGCACATCCTTCTTCATCATTTTTATTTTATGTCTATTCATGGTGAAGCACTTCTGAGGGAATACTCATTAACCTTTGGGTTGTTCTGCCTCAACAATTCAAATTCAAATTCAAATTCAAATTTTATTTGTCACGTACACAGTCATACACAGTACGGTATGTAGTGAAATTCTCATCACACTGGAGGTTTCCAAAATTTTGACATCAGTCAGCTGATAAGTCTTTGTGAAACATACAGTTTTGTTGCTGTATTTGATGTTGTTGCCGTCCAAATTTAAGGAACGGTTTGTGTTGAAATGCAGAAAGCCTGATTACATAATGTGTGTGTGTATATCAAGTCATCCATCTTACATTCACGATTCAAGCAACCAGCTCGGTCTAGTTAAACTGGGAAACAGAACTAAAGCCACCGGACATTTTTCCAATCAGCAGGTGGCACTGTGTAACTCTCACACAACTCAACACCAAAGAGATCATTACAGTAAATGCAATGAAACTGCACATGATGACATTATCGCAGTGCCTGTAAAATTACCGTCAAAAACCGGCCGGCTCATTAGCTGCCTGATTCTGATTTGCTGAATTTATTCAATTACTTCTTTTCTTTTTATTTCCACTAATTTCTTTCCTGACTGCCTGAAGGTATTTTAGATCAAACTTACATATCCAATAGAAATACAGGCGCATGTTGTGTCCAGAGGATGAATATCTAAAGTTTCTTTGGTTTTCACTAACTTGAAATAAAGAAAAGGCAAAAACATTAAAGAAAAATTGCTTCAGTCCACATGAACACTGAGCTTTTAAGTCAAAGATCTCCACTGGAGGGATGAACACAATTTTTTCATGATGTATTCCCTCATTTGGTGTTTTGATAGTGGTGGTGAACAACACTGTCTGACATGGAATTTCCAAACATCCCATAGATGTTCAGCTTGGTTGAGATCTGGTGACTGTAAAGTCCACACCATATGAGCCACGTCATTTTCACCATTCAGTGACCCCTTGTGCCCTGAGGATGGTGGCAGACTGCTTCCTTCAGGATAGAAGCATTGATTTAATGATAGGATGAAGGTGATCACTGAGAACAAATTTTGTATTGGTTTGCAGTGATGTGAGCCTTGGCAACAAAATACCGCAGAAAAATAAACCTCCCAGATAACTTCTTTTCATTTGTCTCTACTTCAGCTGCAGATGCCCTGAGTCATTCACCAGCTAGGGGTTAAATGGGTTTGCCTGTCTGCTACTTTTGAAATTGGTTCAGCTGAGTTTTTCTCTTTGGGAACAGCTGCCTGCTGCGGCCAAACATGATGTAATGAGAGCAGCGAGACGACCGAAACAGTAAAGCTGCGGGCAGAGAAACAAAACATCGAGCTTAAGATGCTAAGAAGGCTTCAAAAACTTACATGGATAATAAGTGATGGCTTCCTAACGGCGTGCCTTTAACAATACATGTGGATATTATTTATTTTTAAGTCAAGTATTCATTCGTGTAGTTTTGAAATAAGTGATAAAGATTGTGTACTTTAACACTTAACAGTTTAGCTGTTTAAACAAAGCTCTTTTCAGTGTTTTATATTCATTTTCACCGGTTCTCTGGACACACCAGCTCGAAAATCTTAACCACTTAAATAATCAGCAAGATATAAAAAAAATATATTTAGTCCAGTAATTAGTCATCAAGTGAGAAGAGTAATACAAAGAAATCCAGTAAGTTTTTATTGACTTGTTTGGTGAAATGACCATTTGGTCTGGCGTAACTGTTTGAGGATCGACACAAATACAAATGAATAAATAAATAAATACAAGTTTCTGCTTCTGTGAAGGTTGTCGGCAGCCTTTGTGGATTGAGACCATCAGAAGGTCACTGGTCTGATTCCCATCGTCCCTGAAGTGTTCCCAAGAAAAACAGTAAATAGCACAATGCAGTGTAGCTGTAAACTTTAAAGTATAAAGAGACTTAAAAAAAAGTTTTATTAATGTTTTTTTGTGCTTCTGTAATTACTTTAATATAAATATTTAAAACAATGTAAACATATCTGAAATAAATCCCCAAATATTATTACTATATTTTATTCACTGCTTGATGTTTGCATTCATGTCACTGCATATAATCTAATACATATCCAAATGCTCTTTCCCCCTTCCAGAAGACATCGTGCATTTAGCTTTTCTCAGCTGAGGACAGTTTATAATTCTTGGAACTCCAGAGTTTGTCGCCCTCCCCTGCGTTATAATAATCCAATCTGATCCAACCTTGGAAGCAGATCAGCAAACACTATTTTGTCAATTTCAATTTCCCTGAATGAAAGATTTTCATTAACTCCAAAAACAAGTAAAATGCACATTCACAGAACCTTTTTCAAGATGACAGTGAAATGTACAAGGAACAGGTCATCAGGGGTTGTACGGGTTAAGTATCCATGTCCTGTACCCTTGTTGCTCATTGGTGATGGAGGCTGGCAGAGAGGGAGTACTGATGGGGTTACAGATAGAACAAGGAGAAGAAGCTGGGTACAGGGCATCCGCCCACTTTAAAACTCGACCTTTAGCTTTGCTGGGGCCATTAACAGTCCTGGGACTTGGCCCGTTGGTGATGTGTGGTTTGGTGTTGGGCATCCTGTAGAGGTAAACGTCATAGTGTGCAACAGGTCCTTTGGAAGGTTTCAGCTTGACGTTCTTGTTGAGGTGGAGCTCCAAATTGATGGTCACCTTACAGTGCAGAAATAGACTGGTTATTAATACGCAAATGTCGGAGTAAAGTAAGAGAGGTAATGCACAAAAATATTAACAACTAATTATTCTCCTGTTGAACATGTTTGCAAATTGTGTTTGTTCTCTTTAAAGCGGACTGGATACATCTGATTTATAGTATTTTATTAGAGATGCATAGTAAATAGTTTTGTCAATTACATGATAATTTGACATGAAATCAAAAGTATGCAATTGAATTGTTTAGTCTCGAGTATTTGTTTGAGTTTAAATATTTAAAGATTTGTTTAGAGTACACAGTTAGAAGACAGGATCTCATGGTAAGTTAATAACTGAGGACCTGAAATAATTTTAGTTTCAATGATGCACAGCAGAAAATTAAGAAAATACATTTGCAGTTGGATACAACTTCAACGGTTCATAGGCTCCACTTTTCCGCCCATGTTTCCAGTTTCTCTAAATCTATAAAGTCATGAAATAAAATACAAATTGCAATACAAAAAGTAACTTGAGCCTTTTAGGATTCATGCCTTTCGGACAATGTTTGCTTTGTTCCATCAATTTGTCTGCCTATGTAGTTTACAGGTGTAATGGGACAATGCTATCAAAAATCCTGCAGCAGTTTTGAGTGAGTAAATAATGCTAACCTGCTAACCTCTCTCTCTCTCTCTCTCTCTCTCTCTCACACACACACACACACACACACACACACACACACACACACACACACACACACACACTCCAAGACCTGATTACTGTCAGACCTGTTGAATCAAGAAATAATTAAGCAGAACCTGTCTGCGGGCTAAAAGACCTCAGAAAGCAACACGTAATGTCACAATCTAAAGAAACTTGCGAACAGATGAGAAAGAAACTTGTTGACAACTATCAGTCTGGAACGAGTTACAAGCCATTTGGCTTTGAAAGTCCAAAGAACCAGGGAATGCCCATTATCCACAATTGGAGAAAACTTGGAACAGCGGTGAATGTTGGCAGGAGTGGCCAAATCTACTCCAATAATTTATGGTAAGTGATTGGCGATCACTTATAGGTTAAACAAGAGAACAACTTTCAGTGGGATCACGCTGGCCACAATGATGAGTACTCGGACAACACTCTACTTTGAATCTCTTCACAGAAAGTGGAGATTGCGGCTATTTACAAATTACAGATGAAAGGGCCTAAAATAGAGACACAAGTGGTGGCTTGCTTTCCAAAGCCAAACTCAAAATCACCTTTTTGGTCACTTATGCTGAAGCAGACGTCTCAAGGAGTAGATTTTGGCAACACACACACACACACACACACACACACACACACACACACACACACACACACACACACACAAGGAAAAGACAGATCCCGACACAAAACACACAAAGCCCGACCACAACAACACATGAATAGGCCAAGACTTTATTTAGTCAGGGGGCCTCGTCTTCATCATCATCAGACTACACAGTCTCTGTTTAAGGAAACATTTGGGTCACATCACTCTTAGCTTTGTAAAAGTCACTGTTGCACGGCACTACGCGGCTGTCAACTGTTTCACTCACTCACTCACTTGGAGGAACGGAGGACAGGGGGTGGGTTTCTCTGGTTGGGACTGGTAATGTATCACCACATTTCCATCATAAAAGGCCAGAGGGTCCTGTTCTGATCAACAGCATTCCTCAGAGCCTCATTAGTAAACTAGACGGTGCCAGAATGATTCATTTAGAAATCGGGGGTTGGTGGGTAAGACATGCTCTCTTACTCCCCCTCT